ATGATTGTGCATTGAGCATTGACCCCCCTATCCAGAATTTTATTGTGGTTAACAACCATTTGATCAATAAATATGAGAGATGCCCTCACAAAAAAAAAAGTACACACTTCCAATTGTAAAATAAATAAGTAACCGGGATGTAATATATAGCATAAGGAATATAGTCAAAATATTGTAACAACTTGGTATGGTGATAGCTGGTACCTAGAATTATCATGTATATAAATGTTAAATCACTGTGTTGTGCACCTGAAACTAATGTAATACTGTGTGTCAACTACCCTTCAATTTAAAAAAGATAGGTTCTTCAGTTTTGCAAAGTAAAATTCAGTATTAACCAGTTATTCATTGCAAATAGAAAATGCAGGGCATATGCCTATACTTATGTGTGTGAAAACTTCTTCAGTATTCATTTATAACTTCTACAGCACTATGCAGAACATTTTATTCATTTAGCATTCTTTCACTGATTATTATGTCACTGTTATCTACTCTGCTAGATCATCATAATTTTATTACCTTAATGTAGTAAATTGATAGATAAAGGGGAGAGGGGACACTTTTAGGATAAAGTTCTTAAGAATTTTAAATTATTTAGTCATCAAATTCTGGACATTAGACAGTGACATCAAAGTGTTAAGAATTAGAACCACTGGTTCCAAAATTCTTGATATATTCATTCTTTTCTAAACAAAGCTTCGACTGCTGTATAAATATAATTATTCAATTTCACTCCATTCTCAGTATATCAATAATATATCACCTATATTTTGAACACCCTTCCTAGCAATTTTCCAAGGTATCTTTCATTTCCAAAGGTCTATATTATTGTTCAAACAAAAGTAAGTTTCAATAACTTTTGTTTGCTTGTTTAAGTGAGTCCAGAATGTTTTTACCTTTACTTTAATAAGTAGAAGTAAAGGGCTTAGGTATATACCATCTAAATCAACTAAGACACTGAAATTCTGTATGTTCCACAATATGGCATATGATCACAGTCTTATTTCCCATCATATCCTTTCGCTCTAGCCACACAAATTTTTCTCAGCATTCCTAAAACTTAATGCACAAATTTAAGAATTCTATGTCTTTCCTCAAGCCATTCTATGCCTGCAAGTTACTTTGTATCCTCTCTCCTAGTTCGTATGTTTCCTTCATAATTTATAAGGGTGAGCTGATATGTTACATCTTACTACAATTTCCCTAACCAGAATTAATGCCTTCCTTGATTTTTTTCTGTCATAAGACATTACTCAAAGCTACGTGAAGACAATCTCTTTGGCCTTATGATTGTATCTCAAATGGCAAGGCTCCTTGAGAGTAGAAATACACTCTTGTAAGTACTTGAACAGGGTACTTGGCACCAAAAGTATAGAATTCTGGGCATCGCTTAAAATAAAGTATATTTTAAGTGTTCACAAAAATGAGTTGACAAGAAAACACTTCAAAAATGCATATTTTTTCTTTTCATTTTTCGAGCCTATTTTCTATATTTGTTATTCAAAGGTGCTTCTCCCCCCTACTCAAATAATTAGTAATTGTTTTGTTCATAGGAACATCATGAATGTCTGTTTCTATAACTAACCAGCAAACTCCTGGTGAAATGACTATTTTAAGTTTTAAAAATCTATAAATTTATTAAATCACTTATATTTTACATAGTGCATTATGATTTCAAAGATGTCTTAGTTCAATTCCTTATAGAAAGAGAACTGTATCAAAGTTATTCCAAAAAATAATCTATTCAGAGAAATACCAAATATACTTTACACAAGAAAATTGCCAGATGTATCATTCAGTTTTACTCTCTATCCATGGGTCATTGTGAAAATAAGGTGTAAAATATTTTAGTGCAATATCTGACAAATGGAAAACTTGAGGTATGCACCACTTTTCAAACAATTCTGCCTTCTCTTTCTGTAACTAACAAACCAGAAGTGGTAGGAAAAAATCTCCCTTTTAAAACAACCATGACAAAATGATCGCAAAAGTGATAGCAGTAAGTTTATTTGTAACACTGCAAGTCCCAGTGTCTCCTGGTTAACAGTTTTCTTTGAAATGCAGCCTGATAAAGACAAACACAATCTCTGGGGCAGAGGCATATCTCCTTCTATTCCTCACCTGGTTCTTTGACAATGACTACATGAAGTCAGTGGTAAAATAACTGCTGATATTTTGTTTTTTCTTTTCCAGAAAATGGAAGAAGTAGAGCTTATAAACTAATTATTTGTAAGTTCTTATAAGCCACTTTAATACTGAGAAGGGAAATACCTATTTCTTGGAAGGGTATTCAAGAAAAAAAGGTTAATTTGCTTCTTGAAATTAACTGAAAAATGTGACATAATACATTCAACAAATTGATATTTATTCATTTCACTAGAAATAAGATAATGACAGTAAAGTATAATCTCAGTTTAAAAGACTTATTCTGAGAAATGGTTGGATACGAGTCTGTAAGAATATAATGAAAATTTCAGAAGAAACAAAACCGCAGTCTATAAGACAAACAAATCTTAAAAACAGCCTGTTAAACAAAGATAGGAAGATTTAACTCTTCATGGGAATTTTTAGTTGAAAATACACATTTAATGAATAACTTAATATACAAGGTCAATTTTATAAGGCAGTATTTGAATGATCTAAAAAATAAAACATTTTTGGATCAACTTCTTTCAGGTTTGAATTTATTAATGTAATAGAAAAAGCAATGAAAAAATGTCAACTAAAAATGTGATGAATGAGAATAACACAACTTCTAAGAAAAGGAAGAAAAGCCAACTCAAGTATATCTGAAAACAGTTGACTATCTCCATTATTGAAAATTTTATTTAACTAGATAAAATGAAAACACAGCTTCACAAACCATCCTTTTAGTTAAAATGAAAAGAGAAGAAAAATTGCAATATGAAAATGATGCAAAACATTTCAAAATATATAAAAAGCCAAGTATAACCATAGCCAACTGATGTCAGTACCTGAAAAACTACTTTGTAAATTATACATCTTTGTACGCCCTTCAAAAGCAACTATTCTCAGCTAACAAAACCTAGTCATAATATATATCTTTCTGCGAAGTTCAAAAAGCACATCCTGCTTTAGCAGACTCATATTTTCTAATAAAACACAAATTGTTAGGATCTGTAAAATCCACTTATGTTAAGATAATCTTAAATTTGTTTGTGCACAAATACTTTGTGAGGTTATCAAATTTAATAAAAATACATATAGAGAAAAAAGTGTCTTGAACTTACCCATGGACATTTATTTCTAAAGAAAATACTCATATGGGAGATATTCTAATATTACTATATATAAACATCATATTAAAGAACACCTACTAATTTAGAAGCAAGGATGTTTTACATGTAATTCCTGTTGATTACCAGCTCTAGATATATTTTGATCTTTTCTATGGGATTTAAATTATATGTTAAAATTCATCTAACAAAATTGTTCCTTTAATTAAAACAGACCCTAAAAACCTAGCGAGGATAACAATTTAAAAAGATATTTAAACTTACCCCATTTAATGGATATGTTTTCCATCCTAGCTCTCCCAGCACAGTTGTTGTATCAAGCAAAACAACTGGAATTAAATAAATAAGAAAATGAATGAATTTCTAAATTGATGCAGAAATATATGTTATTTAAGATCACTATGTCAACCAGCTTTACTATTATTCATTGCTTTAGCTTTAATAAGTTACATCATTTACTTTAAATTATTCATATATACTAAACAATGTATCATACTTAATATTAAGTGATAACACATATAAAGTGGTTATAGTTTTAAAACATGCAATTTGCATTTAACATTGCTAAATAAAATGCATAACTGAATGACAGAATTACCTAAGTCAGTTTCTAATAGCTGCCTTTTAAAATTAACAAATGTTGGAGGAGGTAATCAAGAGGAATCAACCACTGGTTGACACTTGAGCTGGACATGGGCAATTGGAAGCTGCTTGGCTCTCTCTCCTGTCCTTGCAATGTACAGTCTGCCTACCTTTCCCAAAGTGGGAGATGTTACAAGAACACAGCCTTGAGAGAGTAAGGTGGTGTTGAGAACAGCAGAAGGTATTCATGACTGAACCCAGTTAAGGCATCTGTATGAACTTTAAGATTCTGTTGTGCCAGTGTGGAGATCTACATATCTTACAGCCATACAAGACAAGCCTTGTTAAGTTCCCTTGCTTATTAAACCTGCCACCTGCCAATATAGAGTGGTCTGCCCCTTTCTTCAGTCTTTTTTCTGCCCTGCATGAGTACAGGAGCTAGTTTGCAAATCAGTAATATAATAAACACCTTGCTTTTCTCCCTACTTCCATATATGCAGTCTTTTTACACTGCATTAAAGTAAGAAAACCTGCATTAATGCAGGCTTCTGTATTTTCTCTCTGTGTTATTAAATGTCCTAGCATAAGATTTACAAAGTATGAAAATAACTTATTCTGAATAAACTTACTATCTTTGAAGCAAAGATTACATTATTATTATATATGCTAGTATATTTTCCCTGACCAAAAGTTATCTCATAATCTGGACAAAAAGGCAGACATATAAACAAATAATTAGAACAGAGTCTCTTAAATTGCAGACTAGAAGATTATATAATCTCCTAGCAATTAAGTTAGTCTATGGCTTCAGAGGGTAAATCTGAGAGGATTTCAGAAAGGAGATGCAAGCTGAAGACGGTGTCTTGAATCAGATGTGATGAGAAACATTTTCTTTTATACTATCTTTTATAAAGTAACTGAACTATATCTAAATCCGTTCTTAGTTGCTGGAGTCAGGACTAGGAGTGGGAATTATGTGGGTGAACTAGGAGATTAGAAATGAGATGGAAAGATATGTAGATACACGGATGATTTTTGTAGTGTTCTCAGCAGGTAAATGGCTAGAGTCCATGATTCAACAGAACTTTATTTTTAATTACTACCCGCAAGTTCCCGAGATAGCAGTAGGCCATGGACCACACACTGAAAAATAATCCTTTGTATCATGAGTTTTAGTTCTCCATCTACTTAAGAAAGTGAGTTTTTTTATTTGTAATTTTAAAAAATACCGTTAGGAGTATGTTATTGGACACCTGCTATATAGTGTCTGTCTAAAGATTCAATGTATTTTTCTTATATGAATCATTGGTACATTTTATTGATTTTTAAGTATTAAACCATGCTTATATTTCTGGGATAAATTCTACTTAGTCACTGCAGAATATTCTTTCAATAATGTTAAAAATCTATTCACTAAACAAACATCTGTAAAACTGAGCTATAATTCTTCAATTCATATTGTAGAAATTCTAAAACACATTTTAAAATGTAGAGAAAACAGTAAAATAAACCTTCATGTACTCATCACCCAGCTTCAATAAGTACCAACTTATAGCCAATCTCATTCCATCTAACATTGTTACCTATTCTCCCCACTGCAAGATTTCTTTGAGGTAAATTCCAGTGATACATCATTTCATCTATAAAAATTTCAGTACATATTTCTAAGACAAAGGCTCCTTTTAATATAGCCACAATATCCTTATGCACTACTATAAGAGGTAATTCTTTAATGTCATCAAATATACATCGTGTTTAATATTTCTATTGTCTCAATTTCTTTTAACAAAAAAATTAAGATCCAACTAAGTGCTATACATTACAGTGAATTGACAGTCCTCTTCAAGTTTTTTTAAATCTATAGCTTCCCCCATTATCTTTTTCTTAGATGTATTGAAGTATGACTTATTTACAGCAAAATTCACACAAAAATTTTAAATGTACATTTCCATCAATTGTGACAACCCCCTGCATCAATGTAACCACTGCCACTATCAAGCCATAGAGATTTTTCATCTCCCACAAAATTTCCCTTATGATTCATATGGTGAATTCCTTCCACCATCCCAGTCCCTGGCAGCTACTAATCTAATATCTGTCCCTATGGCTTTACCTTTCCCAAAATGTCAGATGAACGTAATCATATAGCATGAAGCCTTTTGAGTCTGGTTTCTGTCACAAAGCATAATGCATTTAATATCCATCTATGTTGTTGTATGTATCAATAGTTTCTTTTTGCTGAAAAGCATTCTATTGCATGGAATTCTCTAGTTGATGGAAATGTGGGCTATTTCTAGTAGGAGACATTATAAATAAAACCACTATAAATGCTCATGTACAGATTTTTATATGAGTCTATCCTTTCACTTATCCATGGTAAATAGGGGTTACTGGGTTATACGGAGAATGCTTATTTTTGAAGAAACTATTAAACTGTATTCCAAAATGGCTATGAAATTTTGTATTCCCATTAACAGAATGTATGGTTTTCCAATCACTCCACATGCTCACCAGGAATCAGTATTTTCAAGTTTCTTTTAAGACATTATAATAGTGTATCATAATTGTTTAAATATATATTTCCCTAATGCCAAGCCAGTTATCTTTTTCACTACTTGAAATCAAATTTACTGTAAAAAAAAAAGGTTATTTTGTCCCACGTTCTAGATTCTTCTGATTGTCACGTATCACTAAACATTTCCCCCATTCCCTGTATTTTCTTTAAATTGGTAGATATATTTAGTGGCTTGATCAGATTCAGGTTTTATTTTTTGTAAGATTATTTCATTGGTGGTGTGTACCAGTTCAGGGGAGATATCAATGTCTATTGGGGTCATGTCAAAAGGATTCGGGAACAAACTTGCATAGACTTCTACTGGCCAAAAATGGCTAATTTGATCACACAGAAGGTTAATGATTGTAAGGAACTGAAACACTTCAAGTACGTTTAATTTATGTATTCATAATGATAAATACACCTACTGATAACTTTTTCAGAATACTAGGAAATCATTATTTTTAAAACTGGTAAATAATCTGAAAATAAGATATATATTTTAAAGCTTTTTTCTATATGAACTACTTAAGAATAAAGAAATAATGAAGGACCATTTCTCTTATTGAAATATTTCAGTTCATAAATGAAAAAGGAATGACCAAATCAGGCTATACCATTTTCTACTCTTAATGAATTAATATATTTAGCTAATGGTTTCCAGTGGCTGTTAACATCACATAAAGAGATAAAAGGATACATTAAGGGCTAGAACTTTTAAAAGGCTTTCTTTATAGTATCATTTACCTCATATTAACATACTATTCAGCAACCCTGGAAGCAAAAGAAAGCACAATAAAGATGGTGTGTGTGTGTGTGTGTGTGTGTGTGTATGTGTGTGTGTGTGTATCAAACACACACAAATACACAAAATGATATTTGATAGTATTTGGGTTCATTCAGAATAACAAAAATTACCTCATACTGAACTCTATCAACAGAGATTTCTTCTTTACAGATTTGAAAATTAATTAATTGATTAGTCAACAAGATTATTTTTTCGGAAACATATTTAGGTTGCTTGGTTCTTAGTACTTGTAAACTGTAAAGTATATTTATGTCAAAACAAACACAAAAAGAAAATATGTATATACCTACAATAGCATATATCCTTAGGAAGAATTATTTTTTTCTCTGTAGCTTCAAAAAGAAAGATATACATAATTATTTTATTTTCCTCATTAAACTGCAATGATACCTTTTAAAATACATAAGTACAAATTTGCATTTCTGACAAGTGCAATATGCTGATCTTAAAATAAAACAGACTTTTTGAGATTTTTCTAATGCTGTCATGTTTTAAGTATTTATATGTAATCATTTGTTTCATATGTAAAACCCCCACAAATTCAGGTTTTTCAGGCACACTAATTGCATTGAACCCAGCAATGTGAGAGCTCCTCCTGCTGGCTTTAAAAAAAAGTTATCTACGGATGCCGAAGATTTCTCTCCAAAACAGAGGGAGGTGAGGTTCTAAGCCTCCCCCCTGTTAGATGCCCTCTAAAAAAAAAAAAAAAGTTATCTAGCCTTTACCAAACTGCAAAAATATTGGAAACTTAGAGGGAAAAAACATTGTATCAATGTCAACATCAGTGAAATGTCAATACTTTTTTACTTTTAATTTAATGACAAGGTTTTATGTATAGCAAGATTAATACCTATAATTTATTTATGGAGTCCATGTGAAAATATAATTATTCAAATTATAATAAATGAGAAATTGAATACACCAAGAAATAACAGAAGTAGTAGGTTGATGGTAACAAAGTTTTGAAAATATCTGTTTTGTTTACTAAGCAACATAATGCATAGAATACGTTTGTTGAACTACATAGAATTTTCTCTTAACTTTTAGAAATAAATTTCCCACATATTATATTTCTCTCTGAAAATATTTCATTGGTACTCCTTTTAATCATTCTTTTGGAAACTAAGAACACTTCCCCGTGTTCTAAAAGAAGATATCAAATAATGAAGACATGGTTGATATTTTTGGATTAAATATGAGAGTAATGAGTACCTTAAGAATAAAAAACTCAATGTTAATTTTTTGTCTGACTAATTTATCAAGTCTTAGTTCACATCCTTTTTAGTAAGTTTAAGAGATATTAGCTTTAAAACAATTAACATGTAGATTCATAGTATAAAAAATTGAAGATCATCTATATTTCAACTCCACAATAAAAAAAGGAT